AAAAAAAAAAAAGAATCTAGCCTTATGTTATAGATGAGAAAACTGAGGCTTATACAGCATATAAAAATTACCTGGGATCACCAACTACAAATGGGTGGAGCCAGAATTAGAACTTCTGTCTTCCAACTCTAGTACTGCTGCCTTTTCTTTTTCTTTTCTGCAGCTCAGTTACCTTCCTTATTATAGCTCTTTGTAAAATCACCTCTTCTGTCTTTCTCAGGGCAGATCATTTCTGTCTTAGTACAAATAAGAAAATAGATAGGAAAGGGCCTTGGGACCAGTGAAGGGAATCCCAAACATTACCATCTCTTTTGCACTAATACTCCCCAGATCTGAAGTTATGATTTTTTTTTCTCCTCTTAAGCAACTGATACCATCCAATTCTTTAGGATTTAGTCCCATAATATTATCCCACTCTACTTTTTACTCATTTACTCCAGGGTCTTTGCCCATTTCTCCCTCCTCAAGAGCCCATTGACTAGAGGATATCAGGTAACAAGAAGATTGATGAGAGGTCCAGAGGCCACAGCTGGGTCAATGAACAGAGATCAGCAGATACTGTGTCCCCTATAAAGGAATTTTAAACACATTCATGTCTCCAGTCTAACTGGAAGAAACCTCATGTTTATCACTGGGACTCAGACTTCATTCATTCATTTATTCATCATATATTTATCATGTGTTGAACATCTACTTAGTGCTAGAAACCATTCTGGTGCAGGGCATTTCAAAAGGAATAGTTCTTTAATCCTATATTTACTGAGTTCCCTTTTAGTGGTAAAAAGTAAATCAAAAGATAATTGCATCTATAGGTGCAACAATAGACCTGACCATCTGTGTCAAGGTCTGCAATTTATGTCAACTATTGCCATTATTATAGTAATCATGAGCATTATCAGTTGTATAGGTAGAGAGTTAGTATTGGCCTGAACAGATGGAAAAGTCTTCAGCAGAAACACACATTTGAACTGGGACTTGAGTTTTGTCAGGCAGTTGACAGCATATTGTATGATTTGCTTTTCTTGGTGGCAAATGCAAGTTGAGGATCAAGTGTTTCTTTCTCCAGATTTTTAAAAATATGTTTAGTTAGAACCCAGTCTCCTGCTTTTGGAAGCAATGGCTTTTAAATATGGAAGCAATTATCAAAACACCTGCAAAGAAATTTCCACCGATCATTTAAGGATTTATATA